ATGCCAAAGCCATATGGGAAACACTGCAAACAGCTCATGAGGGAACAACGCAAGTCAAGAAGTATAAAATTGATAACTTGAACAGGCAATATGAGCTGTTCAGGATGGCAGAAGGGGAGACTATTCAAGACATGCACACCAGGTTCACCTCCATCATTAATGAGATGTACTATTTAGGAGAGATAGTGCCTAACGGAAAGGCAGTAAGGAAACTCTTGAGTGTCCTTCCTGAAACTTGGGAAAGCAAAGTCGAGGCTATCACTGAAGCCCGCGACCTAGACTCACTGGCAATGGATGAGTTAATTGGTAATCTCATCACATACAAACTCAAGAAAAACCAAGAAAAGGAAATTGGAGGAAAAAGAAAGGAAAGGAACCTGGTTCTAAAGGCTATTGCATCAGATGCTTTTGGAGATGAAAATATTGCCCTCATAACCAAAAGGTTCACCAGAATGCTAAAGAGAGGGCAGACCTTTCAAAATAAAGCTTTTCAAAAACCATATGAAAACACTAAAGACCAGGTTTGTCATAAGTGTGGGAGCCCAAATCACTTCATCAAATTCTGTCCACTTTGGGCCTTAGAGCAGAAAAAGGCAAACTTTGAGAAGGGCAAAGACATCAAGAATGATAAGTACATTCCCACAAACAGAAGAATGACCAATCAAGAAGCGGATCTTTAAACGAGAAGAGCCTTTGCAGCTATGGGGGACTTATCTGAAGAAGAATTTGAGGATGGAGGGTTCGAAAATCAGTCACTACTTGCAATAGAACAATCAAATAAATATGATTTTCTTGCACTCATTGCTGAAACAGATTCTGAAGATGACAATCAAAGCAAGGTAAGTTTTCATCACATCAAAGTAAATATTGAATCATATTCTAAAAAGGAACTAGAGTCTTTATTGAGTACTCTTATAGATGCATATCAGTCTGTCAATTCTGAAAGAGAACAAGTGATGGAAAACTATGCATCTTTAAGAGAAGTCAATGACAATCTTGAGAAACACAATCACTTTCTTCAAAATAAATTAAAAGAACAGATTAAAATCTCAGAGTTAAGTCACAAGGGCAAAAACTCTGCTAGTGAACTTCAATTAGCTCTAGAAGAAAAAATAAAATTGTTAACCATAAAATGTCAAGCCTTAACAGAAAGAAATAGGTTGCTACAAGAAAATCTTGATCATACCAAACTGGATCTGGAAAGAAATCTTAGATGGACCAGGTCCTCCGAAATTTTAACTCAGATTCAAGAAAGGCAAACCACTAGTCGAAGTGGGATAGGTTTTGAAAAACAGAATAATCCTGTGTCACACACTATTCACATGTATAAAAGTTTATGCACTCATTGTGGAAACTCAGGTCATTTAAAGAATAAATGTAAAGCTTTATTTGAGGCTTTTCAGAAAAATGTTAAGTTCACCAAAAAGGAAAAGACTGATACAGCTAAGAACCTGGTTCGAAATAAAAATTCTCCAAATAAAAGGTTTTCTTATTTGCCTTTATGGGCTAGAAGAAATCTTATTCATCCTTTTACTCACATAAAGGGGCCCAAGCTAATCTGGGTTCCCAAGACTAATCTTTGACTAGTGTTTCAGGTGAAGGTGAGAAGGAAAAGACCAACTTGGTACATGAATAGTGCATGCTCCAAAATGGTGCTAAAAATGGTAGAAAATTTCCTCTCGCTCTTTGATTTTCAAGGAGGAAGTTTATTCCTTGAAAAGGATGAGAAAAATAAAATAAAAAAAGTTGAAGAAAGTGACATAATATCAAACATCTTTGATGATGCAAATTTAGGGAACACTGCATATGAACCTGGTTCACAGCTAACAATCATTGATGCACCTGCAACATGAATTACTACTTATCTATGGTTCTGGAGATTGGATGAATATTAGAGCAATCGAGACAGTAAGAGTATGGCACACCTTTGGGGAAACTTTGTTGTGTGAACATGGTCCTTGTTGTTCATTGGAAGGTATTAAAAATTGACAAGGGTTGGTTCTCTGTGAATCAGCTTGAGATTCATTTGATCTTGGAGAATATGATGATGTGACATTCTTGTGAAGGCCTTGAATATGAAGAACTCGAGAAAAATCAGTCAAAGCATGGTGTTCTCGAAACAAGTTGATGCATTATTATGATTTCCTTTAATAATTGGCTAGTAAAAGAATAATCTTACGCTTGAGTAATTATACAATGAATATTTGCTAACTCAACCTCATACTGTAATAGGTACACACTCAAGTCACATCTCAAACAATGCTTAGAAAGTTTGCAGATGTTATCTCTACTCTTTGCTAACACCATTAAGTAAATCATGAAGAAACACACAAAAAAAGGGGGAACCTGGTTTCTCTGTAATACTCAGGTATGTACCATCCTTTTTCAATGCATTAATTTCTTGAGTTTGGGTCAAACTTAAGCACTAATGAACCTGGTCGATCATCAAAAATTCAACTTTCTTAAAGATCACCAAGAACCCTCTTTGACAATAAGCATCGTTCAATCCCAAACTGCTCTAATGACTAAAATCTCAGTATTGAAGTCACTCATGCTTTAATTTAGGGGGAACCTTGCTTTACCACCCACATCTGAACCAGGTTCATAAACTCCAAAATTGATATTTCATCCATTCCAAGTGTATAACTTGTCTATCTCTCAGGGGGGACAATTCTCACAGAGATAAATTGTTGCTTGCTATCATTATTGATAAACACATCTCTTTGTGCACCAAAATGTGATGAATCTCTTACTGGTAGTTGGTACTCCTTCAAAGTTGTCATCAAGAAAAAGACTATCAAAAAAAAGGGAAGAAAATCATGGAGGAATGAAAATATTACGGAGGAGAGTTAAAAAAAAGTGATGATGTATCTCATGCTTCTCTTGATGAAATTTCACATTCTAAGAAAACTGATTAGAATAAAGAAGTTGGTGCACAATGGGCATACTGAAAAAATTATCAATGACAGTAAACATCCCTTTCTTCCTCACTTTAGTAATCCTTGTCACAATCCTTATCCTCAAATTTTATACTCTTTTGACTCTTTGATGTGCTTATGTCTGTCTCATACTCATGATATTATATGTTTTTTATTAAGGGCATAAACTGGTACATATTTGTTTATTTCGTTTCTCATTGAAGATCTTAATTGTGATGAGTGTAAGATGACTAATATCCTCAGATTAACTAACCATTTTGTTAGCAGAAGTGTACTTGAAAGTGTTGCCCAAGTGGCTATGAGTTAAAAATGATATTGCACTCATTGAATGTTATTTGAGTTCTTTGGTTATTGATTTTCAATGATGCCAAAAGGGGGAAATTATATAATGTGGATAGACATATGCATAGTTTGTCATCATCAAAAAGGGGGAAATTCTTGGTGAATGAGAAAATATGAAGTTTGTAGTTTTGATGGATGACAAAGAATTGAAGTTTTTGAAAATCTGTTAACTAGAGTGTTTGATGCATTTGAAGTCCCATTGGGAGAAGGCAGGATTTTAACTCGTGCAGATATGGTCACTCAAACCATTCTTGCTGATTGTGGCATTCCCATGGAGTCGGAGCAGGTTGCAACTGCGTCTCCACGTACATCTGGTCATGTTGCTCAGTTACTCAAGGAACTTAACGTAGCTGAAGAAAAGTATGCCACTCTTGAGTCAGAAAACCAGAAGTTACGTGCTAAACTTGACACTTCAAATGCTAAAATTCATAGGTTGAAGGATCAGTTAGTGCAGCAGCAACTTGCTAACAATGCAAGAGTTGACAGAGTTCTGGATATGCTAGCTTCTGCTTCAACTAAGCCTGGTCAACCTTCACATTGAAAAAGCATCTTGTTTGAACCTGGTTCTCTTAGTTGTTTAAACTTATTATGCTCAACTGGCTGGACTTATATTGTTGCTATGGATGTTGATTAGGTTTGTTTAGCCGCTGTTGGATTTTTTTTGATTTGTCAAAAGGGGGAAGAGTATTTGCGCATACATCACACAGAAAGATTTGTTTGTCTTCATCAAAAAGGAGGAATATGATAGAATATGATAGAATCGATAATTCATGTTTTGATGATAGACAAGAAGCGCAAATAATTAGTAGCAATTGTACGCAGCAAAAGAAGCCAAGATCGAGTAAAATGGGTCAGCCAAGTAATCAAGAAAATAGAGTTATTTGTCAAAGCCAAAAATAATATATTAAAGGTATAAGTTGATACAAATAAGGATAAGGATTGTACTTTAAAAGGGAATCCTTGTTTAAACATAACTTCCTTACCTTATCAGATAAGGATTGTACAAGGCAAAATAAACTCCATAAGAAGAGCACGAGGCAAAGGCACAAAGGCACGACTTCACGCAGAGAACAAGGGAGAATTATTCATTCAATTGAAGTCTTCAAGGTTGATAGGATTGCTACGTTTAAAACATTCTTGAGTGAGAAGGTTTTATCGCGTAGAACTATTTGTCTTGTTTTTGTTTTGATTGTAATTTACAGTTTATTGTACAAAGGGTGGGTTTGACTCTTTGTAGGGTTGAGTGTTAGTAAGAGGTGTAACAAAAGGTGGGTTTGGCCTTTTGGAGAGATCGATTGGAGTCAATCGAGGAGGTAGTAGAGATAAGACTTTTGATTATTGAGTTGTAATCACAAAATCTTATA